TCAATTTTCAGTTATTTAAAAACACAAATTTGTAGGTATTCTCTTCAAATATTTTTTATATAATTTATTCTATTTTTAGTAATAGGTTTATATGTAATTTTTATTTTTAATGCTATTGCTCTGTTTCCACTGTTTCTTTACCTTAAATTACACTTATTTTAAATATGCAGTTTCATTGTCAGAGTGTCCAATCTTATAAGTTAAAATTGGCGACTTATATTAGTTGCTTTTTATTTTTGTAAGAAATGTTTACTAATTGGAATAATGATTTCACTCTCTCTTATATAGCGGAAGTCCCTAACTGAATGTTTACATGTCCACACTTTGCTATGAAGTCATTACAATTTTTAAAGAATCATATTTGATATATTTGACATATCCTATACATTCTTATTTTATAAAAACATATATTTCAACATCATCTGTTCAATATTGCCTTTTTATGTTTAGTCTAGAACTTGAATTATCTTAGTTTTTAAATTACACTAATTTATTTTCTTTTTCAATCTTCTTTGTCTGGTAACTGACTTCATTTTAACTTACTCTGTAGAAGTTTCTTTTTTGCCTTGTCCATAATGAATATTTTTATAACTTAAAAATATAGTTTAAATGACATTTCAGTAGTACATTTAATTTGTTCTTTGTTTGCATAGCCAATATACTCACATTCAAAATATCCAGGAATCAAATCTAATATATAGTGAAAAGTTTCACTGTCACCTGCAACCCTAAACCGTTCACTTTAAACTCTTTGAGTTCCTGAAACATTGAAAATTTCTTTCGTTTTCTCTAAGATTATATATATTTATGTATACATTATATATATGTACATATATTTATATATAATCTGCCTTTTTTAAAACAAAACCAAAAACACAACAACAGCAAGTGATTGCATTTAACCTACTTTTAAAAAATATATATGTTTTTATTGATTTTTAGAGAGTGGAAGGGAGAAGGATAGAGAGATAGAAATATCGATGAGAGAAATGCATCCCGGGCATGTGACCGCTTGATTCCTGGGTGGAGGCTCAACCATAGAGCCACACTTGGCTAGGCGCATTTCCCCTACTCTTAATTTTTCTACATTTATGCCATGTTATTTCATAAAAAGCTTTCTGGTTTTTGGTTATTTTCTCTCTTTTTACAGTATCTACATCTCATTTTATTGTATGGATTCATAATGGTTTATTCATCCATTTCTCTGTTCATACATTAGTGGAACAATACCTTACTTATACAAACTCATAACCATCAGTATTGTCAACTTTTACAGTTGGCAAAATTTTAGAATACTTCAGAGAGTTATTTTATTGTTTTCAGTGTTCTTTTACATAAAGGCAGAGATATGAAAACTCAACAACTTGTCCCATATTCAGTGGAATTATTTACCACTGAGTAGTAATTTGCAGCCACCATAATCGAACAAATTTCCTGCTCTTGTTTAAAGAACAGTCTGTTTCGTAGGAAAACCTATAAATCTTATAGCTCTTGATTATGGTAATTGTAATTCTATTTTTTATTGCTTTATTTTTATTTTATTCTCACATACTATTTAAAAACTATTTTCCAAGAATATTTTAAGAAAAATTTTAAATTCTACCTTTGGGTTTGAGGGAGTTACTAGAAGGTGATAGAAATCCTCCTCCACACTGTAATCTTTACCCACGAATTACCACTTCTTTATTAAGATAAAATTAAAAAAAAAAATTCAAACTTTGACATACCAAGGCTGTGGAATTTTTCTTTTGTTGATAAAATGTTCTCACAAAGATATTGAAGAATACAATTACCTTTACATAATCTCTCTCATTATTTAGAATGAACTATAGAGATAGTCTTTGAATAGTTAAAGTAAATACAATGTAATTAGTTTCACAGAAAATGCTGTTATTCTCTTTTTCCATATTACTTGCGTTTATGTAAGGATTTTAAATATGTTTATTTTATTACTGAAAATATTGTGATTATATGTCAATCTTAGTCTCACACATCTGGATTGCTGGGGACTTGAGTAAAAGCCATATTGATGCTTTACTTAAGTTTTAAAAATTAGAAATCTTCGGTTAGGGCCAAGTTCATGAAATACTCTTGCCTCCCAAGAAAACCTACAAGGTAAAGCATGCTGGCTAATGCATATGTTATGAAGTCTTTTCTGATAGTAAGAAAGGATTTCTTTGTTGCTCCAAAATAAATAGAATAAAAGGTCAGTGATAAGCATCTCTACAGAGATTCCAATGACATATGTTAAGACAGATTTTATCAAATGGCGCTTTTAAAATCACCGTCATCTATGAGGCTATTTCAAGTATGCCAGGATCTTGAGTGAGGGGAGGAGCACAAAATATTTGAAAACTCTTTACCATTGAGAATTGCCAATGGATGAATTCAAAGGAGAGCGCAATCACCTACTATTGAGGCATTTAAGGTGAATAAGTAAAGTAGTAACTTTTAAGGTGAATAAGTAAAGTAGTAACTTTTAAGGTATACATATCAATATTTAAAATATTGGGAAGAGATTTCTTTCTTTATGAAAAAAGAGACCCCCCTGTGGAACCAAATTAATGTAAGGAGCCAGACGTTATAAATGCCTCTGCGACTGATAAAGGTTAAGATCCACTATTAAGTAGAAGAGGGGAGAAGAAAATACTCACTGGATTAAAAGAACCCCCATTATAGCGGAGGTCAGTGAATCCAATAATTATTACCCTTTAGAGCCGCATGATGTCGCTGTCTACAAAGAAGTTCTGTCTAGGCAGGCTCCGGACTTCCTCGCTAGTCCCGCATCCGTCTCTAAACACTGCGCAATGGCGGAGGCAGCGGAATTGGATTAAAGACTCCAGGCGATGCAGTAGTTCCTTTTTGTATCAAACAAGCTCTTTGATAGCAATAAAACCAGTACTTGACATGGTGTTTTTTTGGCGAGGAGGCCCGGAAGCCCGGCGCCTGCTGCTCTCGCTTCTGCTCCTCGCAGCCTGGGAGGCCGGGCGCGGCCAGGTGCGCTACTCGGTCCCCGAGGAGGCCAAGCACGGCGCCTTCGTGGGCCGCATCGCGCAGGACCTGGGGCTGGAGCTGGCGGAGCTGGTGCCGCGCCTGTTCCGCGTGGCGCCCAAGGGCCGCGGGGACCTTCTGGAGGTGAATCTGCAGAATGGCATTTTGTTCGTGAATTCTCGGATCGACCGCGAGGAGCTGTGCGGGCGCAGCGCGGAGTGCAGCATCCACCTGGAGGTGATCGTGGAGAGGCCCCTGCGGGTTTTCCACGTGGAGGTGGAGGTGACGGACATTAACGACAACCCGCCCGTGTTCCCGAGAACACAAAAGAACCTGTTCATCGCGGAATCCAGGCCGCTGGACTTTCGGTTTCCACTAGAGGGCGCCTCGGATGCAGATATCGGGGAGAACGCTCTGCTCACCTACAGGCTGAGCCCCAATGAGTACTTTTCCCTGGACGCACCAACCAGCGACGACCAGGTAAAACCTCTTGGACTTGTATTGCGGAAACCTTTAGACAGGGAGGAAACTCCAGAGATTTCTTTAGTGCTCACGGCCACTGATGGCGGCAAACCTGAGCTGACTGGCACCGTTCAGTTGCACATCACGGTGCTGGACGCCAATGACAACGCCCCAGCTTTCGACAGGACACTCTATGCGGTGAAATTACCAGAAAATGTTCCCAATGGAACGTTGGTAATTAAACTTAATGCCTCAGATTTAGACGAAGGCTTGAATGGGGATATTATTTATTCATTCTCTAGTGATATTTCTCCAGAGGTAAAATCTAAGTTCTATATAGATCCCATAGGTGGAGAAATTGTAGCAATAGGACATATCGATTTCGAAGAAACTAAAGCCTACAATATTCGAGTAGAGGCGATTGATAGAGGCTACCTACCACTGGCTGGTCACTGTACAGTTCTTGTGGAAGTTGTGGACACTAATGACAATGCTCCAGAGTTGACTATCACTTCCCTGTCTCTTCCTGTCTCAGAGGATGCTCAGCCAGGCACAGTCATAACCTTGATTAATGTGTCTGACCGAGATTCTGGGGTCCACGGGCAAGTGACCTGCTCCCTAACACCTCAAGTTCCATTCAAGCTGGTGTCCACCTTCAAGAATTACTATTCGCTGGTGCTGGACGGCGCCCTGGACCGCGAGAGCGTGGCGAACTATGAGCTGGTGGTGACAGCGCGGGACGGGGGCTCGCCTTCACTGTCGGCCACAGCCAGCGTGTCCGTGGAGGTGGCCGACGTGAACGACAACGCGCCGGAGTTCGCGCAGCGCGAGTACACGGTGTTCGTGAAGGAGAACAACCCGCCCGGCTGCCACATCTTCACGGTGTCGGCGCGCGACCGGGACGCGCAGGAGAACGCGCTGGTGTCCTACTCGCTGGTGGAGCGGCGGGCGGGCGAGCGCGCGCTGTCGAGCTACGTGTCCGTGCACGCGGAGAGCGGCCGCGTGTACGCGCTGCAGCCCCTGGACCGCGAGGAGCTGGAGCTGCTGCAGTTCCAGGTGAGCGCGCGCGACGCGGGCGCGCCGCCTCTGGGCAGCACCGTGACGCTGCAGGTGTTCGTGCTGGACGAGAACGACCACGCGCCCGCGCTGCTGCCGCCCGGGGCCGGCG